TTTAATCTCTTTTCCAGTATGAAATTGCCAATGGCTAGAAGACCCATGGAGTGGCCTGTGCTGCGGTGACTTACTTACTATAGCTCATCTAGTCAGTCTTCCATTTTGTGATGTATTGTAAATCCTAGTCTCTATGCCTGTGGCTACTGTCTCATTTTGGTGTGACTTGTCTGTTTTGTTAATGAGGTAAGTAGGGTGGAATATATCTTGAGTCACCACAATACTAAAGGGTGTGTCTAAAGTCACCATCCTTAGTTTTCTTGAGAGTATGGTCTGCATCCAGTATACATGAATGCTCTGGCAAAGTTCTCTGTCTTGCTCTGGATCCTGCATCTGGCTTGTTCTTCTCTAACCCTTGGTTCCTGGAACTTGAGCCAACAGCCTATTGTCTGACTTGACTTGCCAGCTTCCTCAGCCTTGTGAGCCAGCAGCCCAGCCTGCTGATTTGGGTTTGTCAGGCCCTGCAACCGCTTGAGGAGAATCTCCAACTGATGCCTGACCCTTGGATTTGGGACTTGCCAGTCTCCACAATATATGAGCCGTTTCTCCTTGACAGTTCATGAATTCTGTGAGAAGTTGCAGCAAATAATGGAATGCTAACACAGAAGGGAGAACACTGAGGGGCAGAGGAGTTGATATTAGAGATGATGGAGTGGTACAGCACATTAGAAAAGTTGAGTGTTTGGTACATCTTTAAATTCCATGCCATAGGGACAAGCCCTGTGCTGATTCTTCTAAATTATTCACATAGTAATGGAAGTTAAATAATGGGTGTATGCTTATAATGAATATGTTTTTAACTACAAAAGGTTTTTGGGTGGTGCAATTTGTAACTGGCACTAACCTATGATTGGCATTTCAAATCCACCCAGTGGTTTCATTGGGCGATCTGCTTTCATAAAGATTACAGGCAAGAAAACCCTATGGAGTAATTTTACCCTATAACATATGTGGTTGCTAAATTAGAAGTGACTCAACAATAATTTTTTTGGGGGGAGTGGAGAGTTTGAATTTTTTTAACTAAATTTTTACTTGATTTATACTTTCCTCATAATGTGGATTACTAATGATGTAGATCTTGCTGTTATATCCTAGTTAAGCAATAAAAAACAAACTCATTGCCATCGAGTTGATTCTGACTCATAGCAACCACCTGAGTTTCTGAGGTGGTAAATCTTTATGGAAGTAGATTGCCCAGTGTTCACTCTATAGTCCAGCTGGTAGATTTGAACTGCCAACTTCTGGTTAGCAGTCAAATGCCTTTCTACACCACCAGAACTCCTTAATAAATAACTCTAAATTAATAGGTTAAAATGACTGCCATTGAATCGATTCCAACTCATAATGACACTTTAGGACAGAACAGAACTGTCCTACTGGGTTCCCAAGGCTGTAAATGTTTACAGAAGTAGCCAGCCTCATCTTTGGGGCAGCTAGTGGGTTTGAACTGCTGACCTTTTGTTTAAAAACCAAGTGTTTTAAACACTAGATTGCCAGAGCTCCTAATTCATAAGTAGTGACGTACAAAGTTGAAAAGTCAATCATATCCAATATGCCCAATTTTCTTAATGAACAAAAGAAAGATCATCTATTGCTACGGAGTTGACACTGAACAGGATGTTGAGGATAACAGTGAAGGTGTCAAGTTGCCCTTGAGGAGAACTATACATTGAATATTAAGGATATCTGAAATTTTAGTACATGTGTGTATTAATTTTTGTATATAGGTCCCTTAATCATGACTCATTATTATTCTGTTATTAATAATTATCATTGTTTAAGATACTCCTAAAAAAGCCAGTTCAGAAAAGAAGGTATTGGGTCTAAAAACTTCAGGAGGAAAAAGTAATAATCATGTGTCAAATAGATGGTTATTTCATACCTGTAAAACTAATCATCTCCAGCTTCCTCCAAAAACAAACAAACAAAAAAAACACTTCTGCTTATGTGTGACTCATGATGTTGTTTGAACACGGAACAAGGTGTGACCACAATAGTAAACAATGGGTCTCCACATTAGGGGTGAAGTGAGGGATGAAAAATGGAAGTGAAGACGGTAAAAACTAAAACATTGCAGGAAACCAGAAACATATTCATGGCACAATAAAAATCCACATTATCAAGTAAATGTAAAAACTATGCAAAAGAGTTTTCAAAATCACTTCCTTACAGGTGAGAAAAAAATACAGAAAAGTTTCCAGCGAACAAGGGAAAATGAGTCACATGAAATTGTACAGCACCAATTTAAGAAGTAAAAATGCTATCAATAGACTTATTTAGTGTTGTAGTTCTTAAACTTCAGCAAACATATAAATTATCTGGAGGAATACAGATCACTCGAGTTTCTGAATCATTAGCTCTGTGGTGGAACCCAGGAATATGCATTCCTAACACGTACCGAGGTAAAGCTGAAGCTGCTGATCTTGGGATTACACTTTATCAATTACTGATTTAGTGTATGGTCACCACTGACCTATTTTAGTGAATATGGAAAGTACTAGAGGTGCTTCACAGGTTTACCCATGGCTACAGTCTTCCCAAAACCTGAATTTAAGTTCCTAAGAGTCTTGGGGAGCTCTGGAAGCATAGTGCCTAAGGCACTTGACTGCTAACCAGAAGGCTGGTGGTTCAAACCCACCAGCCACTCCTCGGAAGGAAGGTTGGGCAATCTATTTCCGTAGGGATACTGCCTTGGAAACCCAAAGAGGGGTCGCTTTGAGTTGAGTCCAACTCGACGGCACCTAACAACAAGAGTCTTAAGTTTCTCCACTATGGCTGAATTACTTCAAAACCTAGTTTTTGGAAGTGGAAAGAGACTACTATAGTAACCAAAATGAGAGTCATTTAAATTAAAATGTAACCTTCAGTGGATAACAGTATTATGGGATTTCAAATTATAAATTACTAGCTTTAAATTATATTTAACCCAATTAATAATGTGTGGGGATTTCACTGATCTAAATCTAAATTATGGATTTGAAATTATGGTATGAAAATAAGCCATTTCTCCAGGTCTTAGAAAAAAAGTCACGTCTATAAAATACATTTTTCAGATTCACTATTAAATATTTCAAATTAATTATTAGGAATAAGGAGCTCTGGTGGCATAGTGCCTAAGGCATCTGACTGCTACCAGAAGGCTGGCAGGTCGAACCCACAGCCACTCCTTCGAAGTAAAGTTGGGCAATCTACTTCTACAGTGATACCACTTCAGAAACCCAAGGAGGGGTCACTATATGAGTCAGATCTGACTGGATGGCAATGAGTGTTAGGAATAAGCTGGTTTCAAAGTACAAAGTAAATACAATAATATTACTTACCTTCAGTAGAAGAGCCACATGTAATTCCCTGGATGTATCATTTAAAGAAGTAATTTCTATTTTATGGTTGAGCACTTTTGTGTCTCAGTGGTAAATTATACATGTGAACACAAACAATTTTACAAGTTTACAAAAGTCTTGATGATACACCTAAAGTGTCTAAACATTCAAGAGTCCTTGAAACCCAATGCAGAATACTAATTCCACTTAGTAGAGAATTTAAAACCTAAACCAAACACATTTTGATAGTTACATCCTGCAGGATCTAACCTTTGTAACATACATAGTTATCTATTCCTTGTCATTAAAATCTTAACAGTACATCAATACCTTTATAAAGAGTATCATAAAATAGTTTAATATTTCCTTTTTTTCCTCCTTCCAATATTTCATGAGGCACTTACACAGAGCACTAATTTTGGCATTGCTGTAACAAACACACACATGGTATAATGAATATTTTACTATGCTAACAAAATAGTATTTATAAAGAAATTTTTATAAATTAAAAAATAGGTTTGTTGGTAACATGATTACCTTTAAAGCACTGATGTACATTCACAAAATTACTTCATTAAAACTTACACAGCAGTTTCATCTACATGTTCTACAGATAGTTCCTTTTTGAAAGGGAGGTAAATGAAAGCAGGAAAGATACTCACAACTTCTATTTTAACAATACAACTTCAATTCACAGCATTGATTAGTAGAGAACATCTCCAATTAAAGTGGTATACAATTTACAAAAATAGAATGATTATATAATGCAAAACATTGTTCTCCATTATGAAGAATATATGTGTATGTGTCTGTATGTATATATACACATATTTTATGAATTTCACAATTAAGCCCTTATTCAAGTACTTTTTCAGTTTCTCTTGAAATAATCACCTTGCTATACTGGTTATAAATACATAAAAAATAAAAGGTTACTCTAAGAAAAGGTTAAAAGTTTCAGTGTGGTTTGAGTTAAAAATCAGATGCACATTTCATTGAAAACATTACTGAAATTCAAAATAGGTTTAGGTGCCATGCTAAGTTCAATGACTTAGTAAAAAATATAAATATATTTTAAGTGCCAAATTTTTAGTAAATGTCCAATGTGCTAACATTAGAGCAAAATTAAAAAAATTGTCTCAATCTGTTCACCACCCAATCTTAATCCCCAGGTAAATTTCATTTATATAACTAAAATAATATACTAATATACAATATACCTGCTTACAAACACATAGGTAGCCATAAATAAAACTTTATTCTATAATTTCATTTACAAGCTACCAAATATTATGTATTGTACATAATTCTGAACACTTAAATGGCTGCAGTCATGGAAGAGTCCATACTGAATGGAAAGCTGTTGATAAAGAAAAGGTAAAAGCAAAGTAATACTGTGTAACAGAGGGGTGGCAAAAGCATGGTTTGCCATAATAAATTCAATCAGATTTGTAATTATACATCAGTTCTGGTTAAAACAAAGTCTGAGTGCCATGCAATTCTCAGCTTTATTGTTTGCAGTCTGGCTACAGTCTATACAGTCATTTTGTCTTTTGCAGTGATTAAAATAATAAAAAAAATTAAAAACTATAGCAGCAATAAGCATACCCTGTGACAGGATGGCAAGGGTTAAGAACTAAAAGGTGTTTATACAGTGTGTTTAGGGAAAGTGTACGCAGTTTATCTTCCATCAGCAGGAGTTCGACTGAGGGACAACATGATTCGGGCAAATCGCTCACAGAGTTCATGTGTAGAATATGAAGGTAACTTTGGCGGCTCATGAAAACCTTTAATCTCCGTAGAGCAATCAAGCAGTTTAGGCAGAAAATCTGTGAGCTTTTCTTGGAGGTTTGCTGCAAATACAAATAATTAGATGTAACTAAAGAAGGAGAAAGAGAGGTAAAAATGATCATTCTCAACATGATTTTAATAACTTGGAGTGGTTAGTTGACGTTTCATTTCAAGCTATGTAAAATGCTGTTTTTAGGGAAGTGGTAAAATATAAATGGCAATAACAATGTTCACAGCTTAGTTTAAAAATAAGAAAAAAAGATATTTATGTAAAAATATTACAGAATAAAAAAAGTATTAAGAGTAAAAAGTATCTAATAATAACTGCTTTTAATCACAACAACTTAGGTGTCCACTAGCATTATTTAAACTTGCCTTCCATTTCTTGTCCAAGGTAGGAACACCATCGATTTCTCATATCTTCCACAGCAAGTATATCTTTCTCTTCCATTTCATCCACAAGTAACAAGGGCAAAAATGGGACAATAAACTCATTCATGATGATGAGACCATTGTTTACTTCACGATCCTCTCCAGATTCAAACAGTTCTGCAGCTTGCTCATTTAATTTCTTAATACAATGAGAAAAACAGAACAAAAAAAACCCTGGTTTTATTTCCTTGTTTAATTACATAAAAATACCTTTAAGTATTAATACTGTAGACACCATATTAACTATGTTCACAAATGGTATTAGAACAAATGATAGGAAAAACAATCTCAACCTGTTTGGGCACTGAAAATCTCTTAGAAAAAGCTGTGCATAAAACAATGGCAGCAGCAACACAAGTAGAAAGTGGTGGGGAAAGATTGTTGCATGTTTTTTTCTTTTTTTTAAAATTTTTATTGGGATTTGGGTGAAAGTTCACTGAGCAAATTCACTTTTCATACAGCAGCTCACACTTTGCCTCATGACATTGACTACAATTTACCACAATGCAACAGCTTTCCTCCCACTTCCTCCCCAGTTACCTTTTCCCTGTGTCCTTCCCTCCTACACACTCCTGCACCCCAAGCTGTCTCTCTGTGCATACACAGCCATTCTATTCTCCCATGATTGATCTCTCCAAGGACTGTATCTACCTAAAGTAAATGTTCACCTCATATGCCCGTGTTTTATTTGGCTGGAAGCCACAGGAGTGGGTTCAATTCCAGACCTGAAGGGCAGGTAGGGGCCATAGTCTCAGGGGGTTCCATGACCCTCTAACAGACCAGCAAACCTAGTCTTTTTTTTTTTTTTCAATGATTTTGAGTTTGGTTCAACATTGTTCTCCCACTCTATCCAGGATCTGCTACAGAGATCCTCCTCCAAGTGGCTGACATGGTAGCTGGGTACCATCTAGTTCTTCTGGTCTCATAGTCATATAGGCTGAGGATCACATGGTGTACCAGTTGCTTGGACTAATTGTTTCCATGTGTCTTTGGTTTTCTTCACTCTTCCTCGCTCTGGATGAGGAAAGACCCATTGCTGCATCTAGATGGCTGCTGGAAAGCTTTCAAGATTCCAGTCACTACTCGCCAAAGTAGGATGTAGAACAGTGTTTTAGATAGGATGTTATGCCGATTGAACTTTATGTCCCCTGTGGCTATGGTCCCAAGCCCACAGGTCCAACTACTCGCTCCCTCTGGCCAAGAAGTGACTACAACCTTGCCCCTTGTCAGCTCTACCATATACCTGGAAATTCTTACAGAACATCCAAATACACCTGTAGAAACATTGTCTGCCAACCCTATACACAGTCTTTGGCACACTGCTCCCTGCATAGACATACCTAATAGTTCAGCCTGTCCACCTATCTATCCACCCATAGATCACTGTTTACCTTCACTGACAACACAGTACTGTATGTGCAAAAAAGGGTTCATCTTTGTTGCCCATAACTTCCATGCACCTCTCCATGTCTTCCTCTTCCTCAATGCTGCATGTTTTTAAACTTCATATTCAGATTGTATCACTTTAATGATCACTTGTTGTTCTTGTTGTTAAGTGACACTTAGTCAGTTCTGACTCACAGCAACCTTATGCATAACAGAATGAAACACTGCCCAGTCCAGCACCATCTTCATGATCATTTGCAGGTTTGAGTCCACTGCTGCAGCAATTGTGTTGATCTATCTCTACAAGGATTTCCCTCATTTTTGCTGACCCTCTACTCTACCGAACATGATGTCCTTTTCTAACAACTAGTCTTTCCTGATGACATGTCCAAGTAAGCAAGCCAAAGTCCCACTATCCTCTCATCTAAGAAACATTCTGGTTGTATTTCTTCTGAGATTGATTTGATCATTCTTCCAGTAGACCGTGGTGTATTCAATATTCTTTGCCAATACCACAGTTCAAATGCATCAATTCTTCTTCTGTCTTCCTTTTTCATCACTTTAGAAGTCATTTTTTTTTAGCCTCCTTTCAAAGAAAATTATTTACCCAGAAAGTCCCAACTACTGGCATCTTCGCTGAACTTTCCCCAATCTAAAACTTGACCAGCACTCAAAATAAATTTGAAAATGTAAAGAAATTCAGACTTCATATTAATTTTGAAAAACTATCTCCATAAATGTCAAAGGAATAACTACTGCTATATTCTTTGATTTGAAAGCTAAAAGTAATCAAGTCATTTATTTATTCCTTCTGCAAATTCTTATTGAATGTATGACATATGCCAGAAACTTTCTAGATGCAGGGGTCCCAAGTAAATTATAAAAGCTCTCATAGAGTTTACAGTCTAGTATAGAGATGGCAAACTTTTCTTTAAAAGGCCAGACAGGGCATATTTTAGGTTTGAAAGGTATCCATATAGTCTCTGTTACAACTATTCAACTCTGCCATTACAGCACAAAGGTAGCCATATACAAAATGAAATAAACGAGCATGACTGTGTTCCACTACAACTGTATTTACAAAAAACAGGAGGAGGCTGGGGTGTAGACATACATAGTTTCTCAACTTTTGAACTAACAGAACAAAGAAATTCATGAAATAAGAAATACAGCTTTTAAGAGTTAGATAAGGAATATAGATACAATAAGAGCTATAAATTTGATGGTTCACATCTGAAATCTTATGCTATTATAGCTTGGTAAATATTACTTTTAAGATAATCATTATAGCTTTAAACTCAATTTCAGATACAAAAATCATATTATTCATGTTTGCATTATATCATTCTTCTCTAGTTCTTCTTAACTTTGGAGAGTGGTTTGTGCTAAAAGTCCCACTCAGATACTAATCAATTACCTAACCTTAAAAAATTACTTAAATTTCAGCTTCAATTTCTTTATATGAAAAATGTGATATGATAACCTTCCATAATAGTGGTTAACAAGATTAAGTGAGATGGAGAGAATAAAGTACGTACTGTACAAGTAGTCCCTGACTTATGACTTAATGACTCATATGACTTATGTCTCATATATATATATATATTTTTTTCATTATTATTGCCTTTTATTATAAGAATCTTTATAAATCTGATCTTTATTTGAGTTGAGGGGGTTTGAGACATTATATATCAACTTATAGATATATTTTAATATATACATAAAAAATACACAAATCATAAAAATTTACTCTGATGATGTAGAGTTGGATGACCTTGGAATTTTGTCAGTTAAGGTAATAACTCCACTGTGGAAGGTTCTGCATCATCTGGATTATCCCTGGGAATGAGAATGGTGTTTCTAGTCATAAAATTATTGAGAGTTGTCTGGATGATCCCTTTTTTTTTTTTTTTTTTTCCAAATTCTACACATATTTCATGGGTAAAACCTCACTGCTTCCCAATCTGCCAACCAACTTTAGCAAAGCAGTCAGTGTGTATGTCTATGTTTTCAAACAAATGAAACTCCTGTTAGTTTAGAAAAAACTCCAGCTAATCATTTCACTATAAATTGTTTTGACAATTTCTCTCTTTCTTCTTGTTTTTCTTCAGCACTTCTTTCTTCTTCAAAAGCCATTAAGTCCTGATTTGTCAATTCCCCTTTCTCACAATCTATGTGCTGTTCCACATCAGTAATATCAAGTTCTAAAGTTAGTGTTTTTGTCATATGGACTATTTTTCTACTGATCTCTTTCATCATATTATCCTAATCAAACACTTGGAGTGTGTTGACATAACTCAGCAATTTTCTCCACATGCCCTGCATACTTTAACTACCTCCTAGATACCAAACAAACAAACAACTACCAAAAAAAAAAAAAAAAAAAAAACCCTCAAAACAAAAAATTGGACAGCTGCATAAATGTGGTTTCCCATAACTCGAACGTATCTTAAATAGAGGACTACCTGTAATTCTTGGCAATATGCATTCAAAGAGATGTAAGTTATTACTGTCCTGAAAGTTAATGTTAAGTTTTAATTTAATATCACTAAATTGAAGAATGTCCTGGAAATACCTTAAATTTAAGATGTCCAAGGGCATATGACTACTAACCACAAGGCTGGCAGTTCAAATCCACCAGCCACTCCTTGGAAGGAAGGTTGAGCAATCTACTCCCGTAGTGATACCACCTCTGAAACCCAAGGAGGGGTCATCATGAGTTGGATCTGACTTGATGGCAGTGAGTTTGGTTTTGATTTTGTTTATTACACAAATGCCACCAGAGCGCAAGTGCTCACTTGTGCTTTCTCTGTCGCTCTCTGTCTCTCTGTCTCTGTCTCTCTCTTACTCTGTCTGTCTCTCTATCTGTAAAGTTCAGTTCCTTCTTCTCTGGGGTAGATAAAAAATCTTTCCAGAGCGGCAAGATGGCGGACTAGGCAGAAAGACTGCACAGACCCTCTTCAACAAGGAAAAGGGAAAACAATTAACACAGACACAGAATATAATCCTGGACCTGTGAGCCTTGAAGGGAAGGATATAGAAGTGGACTAAACTCTAACTAGCAGAAGAATTTGAGTGAAAATACCAAAAATGGAGACAGACGGAGCTGCGGTCTGACAGCAATCCTGATGGCACAGACAGCTTGGAGATTCCTGAGTGGTGGTAGGACCTAAGAATTAACCTAAAAGTCACCCTGCTAGGCAGAGACTGCACGGAGGACTGTGCACGGTCACTGGGGAACAAATGGAGAAGGTGAAGAGAAAGGGGCGCTGAGCTGTGGACTTTTGCCAGTCCGGAGGTCGCTGCCATTTGAAGGTTTAAAAAGCAGCTTGACTATTTTGGATATTTAAAGAGACAGCACTCTCCCAGATTCCTGGGTCTTAAGAACACATTCTGCTTTCCAGCAACCGCAAGGACACTGCGGACCTGCAAGACTTACAAGGTATGAAATTCCTTGTTACTCTTATACCCCACACCTGCTTGGTGAACAGAGATGCGGCCATCCCCCACTCCCGCCAACCTTCTGGGTCCACAGGAACACCGTCACAGTCTATGTGCTCAGACGGAGCCTGGGTGCCCTGCGCTGTCCTCTACCAATTTTTTTTTTCCTCTTTTTTTATTTTTTGCTTTCTTTTTTCTGGTGATTAGTTTGTTTGTAATTGTCTGTTTCAAAACAACAGTATTATTAATACTTTTGTCCTTTTTATTACTATTTTTAATCTTCCCCTTCCCAGGTCCTAGTTTTCAGCATTTTTTCTTTCCCCTGTGCCTGGCTGAATTTTTTTTTTTTTTTTAATTTAAGGTGTTTTCTTTTCTTTTCCCCTTTTTTTCTCATGGTTAACCCTTTTCCTTGATTTTCTTTTTGCATTTTTCCCATTTTTTTTTTTTCCATTTAGTTTTTCCTTCTCTGCTTTTTTTTTCTCAGTGTCCTATCCCCAGATATTTCAGGTTTTCTTGTTTTTTCTTCTTTTCTTTTCCCTTTTTTCTTTTTTGGTTACTGTTCCTGTGTGATTACATGGGGTGTTTTTCGTCCATGGGCTTTTAGTTTTTTGAAGGTTATTCAATTGTAATTTGTGTCTAACTCAGTGGGAGACAACAAAAATCCCCATAAGACACAACTACACCCACATCTCCTACAACTTCACTTACTGAGTGAGAGCCACTACCTCCTTCTCCACCAATGGACCAACAATAAAAAAACACCAAGAAGAGCCTTGGCTGCTCTTCACAAACAGTTAACAGAGATCTAAAACAATAACACTATGATGCCTCAGAAACAACAGACCATCACAGTCCACACAAAGAAGCAAGATAAAGCGGTAAAAACAAGGGAGTAGGATACAGACCCAGAACACATTCCTGAGGAAGCAGCAGGATTGGAACTCTCTGATAAGGATTCAAAAGAATTATCTTTAGGTACCTTCAAAGGTTGAGAGACAGACCAAAGAAAACACAGAAAAAACCTTAGAAGAATTTTGGAAGAAAATACCAGAACAAAATGGCAAAATAAGTGAAAAATTATAAACGATTCTAAATCTACAGATAGAAATCCAGAAGATTAATACTAAATTGTCAGAAATAGATAACATATTGGAAGGGCAAAGGAGAAGAAATGATGTGTGGAAGACAGAATTAATGAGACTGAAGGCAAATACCTGAATACTTCTTTGGAAAAGGATCAATCAGAAAAAAAATCAAAACAAAATGAAGAAAGCCTAAGGTTCATGTGGGATACCATCAAA